GGCCCTTTTCTTCTCCCTAGACAAAAAAAATGTTTCTTCTCACTAGACTTTACTTGGAAATGCTCAGGATGTGTCACCCCCTCCAGAGAACGACACGCCAACAACTAGACCTTCTTTAACAGAGGGCTAAGTTGTTGTTATACAGCCAATAAAAAACCATTGAGGTGGAATCAACCACAAAACCATGGGTCTTCTGTCTGTCCAGCTCCCTTCCCAGGCACTAGAAACCCCAAATTCCTGACCATGATGACAGACTGGCGTACCAGCCAAAAGAGCACACAGACATGGTTGCTGCCCCTATACCTGCCAGACAACTTCTTCTCCTAGCAAAGCATACAGAACAATGGAGGAGAGTATCTTCTGCTCTCTGTTTCCCAGGCTATAAACATAGGCTCATCCATGGCCACAGCTCTCTTCCATGGCACTGCTTTAACACATCTAAAATTATCTACACTTCTATTGTTACTGCAGCTACCACTATTCACTGTTTAAAGCTTGGACATTAAAAATTCCATGTGCAGTACCTAAAAATTATTTTTTTTCTTAGAAAACCCTTTGTCAAGCTATACAGTTAGGATGAGAGAAATGCCATAACTGGATAGCTCTGAACACTGGGCACCAGTATGAAATGAAAAGTGACATTTCAGACTCTTGCCTATCCTTCTTTGGAATATAGCATCAAAGAGTTTGAAGAATAAAAAGCAAATTTTAGTTGATTCAGCTGCTTACCTCAGAAAACTGTACACGCAGATGGAATGTGAAACCTATCAAGGCTATGACTTGCAAGATCTTTTTAAGGAAGGTAAGAAATCTTTTAATTTCCTAATTTTTCCCAGAGTTGTCAACACTCATGCCTGTAGTCAGTGACAACTCTACTAACTCAAATGTTAAGTCTTAAAAGATTAACAGGGATAGACATTTGTAAGCAGGAAAAAAAGTAGAGAGGGTCCAAGCTCCCAGACTCTGCCTACTGCTTCTCCAGCAGGATCAGACTATTTTCATTGTATAGCTACAGATAAGTAGTTATCAATTACAGGCTCAGAAAAATATTTAAATTTAATAAGAATCATGTGCAATGAGATTCTTCTGAGTGTACCAAAAGGAAAAGAACATCCAGGACGTACTGCAGTACTTACCTCTAAAGTCTTTGCTTTTTTAAAAAACAAACAAACAATCCATCCAAGACAATAAATAGGCCTTCACCCTCTGTGTGACACAGCCATCAAAGCTGATAGAGAATGCTGAATTAGCAGAGGAAGTGAGTCTATACCTGCTAGGGTAGCAGGGAAACAGTATCCTCTGTACAGACCTGAGGAAAGGTAACTAGCAGTCTGCATGACAGAAAAGCTTCATAGTACTGCAGCGAATCCTCTCAGTCATCACTGCGCTTGGGCAAGTTCCTGTTTGACTTCAGCAACAGCTTTAGGAGTAGCCAAGGCCACAGAAGCAATAAAAAGGTAGAAATAGTTCACCAGAGAAGCTGAACTCTTTATTTGCAATCCTCAAACCAACTCAGGATTGGGATTTGCTTCCAGTGACAAATAAGGGCTGAGCCTTCTAGCCTAGGTGACGGAAAAGACCTAGCAGTACCAGCTAAATGAGGAAGGGAAAATGAGGCGGGGGGGTGGGCGAGGTATCCTTTTCAAAGCCAGAAGTAAAGACATCCTTTTGGGCCTGGTGTATTCATTTATGCACATGCACACACAAAAAACCAAATCCAACTTCTGCCCCTGCTACTAACCTCTGTTGGCATTCACATAATGCCAGTCTAGTCTGCTGTGATACACAGCAACCTGTATATCCCGCAGCATTATTAACTCTTAGACTGAGAGCACTGGGCTTGAAATAAACACATAGCACTGCGAAAACATGCATTTGTGTTTTCCCCAAGCATTTCTGTTGTTGTTTTCTTTTTTTCAATTAAAAAAATCTGAAGATATTGTGAATACTCTAGAAGACTGCAGTAATGTGATATGATTATCAAAGGAAAGATGTAGCATCAGCCAGACAGTTTACCAACGCAGTATTCAGTTCTACCTGTAAATGAGATCACATACAGTAAGCACATAGGATCACTATTCACAATAATTAGCACTCTAATTCACAGATTATCTCAAGAGTAGATGGTAACAGACAAAAAAAAAAAAAAATCCACACAACCACAAAACCCAAACTTTTTTTTCCCCTTAATGCAATGAATTGTCTTTATATCACCACAACTCAGGGGAATTTCAATTGCAGACTTGACGCTGCAGAGAGCAAAGTGTAAAAGGTTTTGAATGGTGTGGTTGTTCAGAAGAAACCTAGAGCCTCCTCCTTCCCTTCATAGGCATCAACTTAATTAATTGTAAAAACTTGGTTGTTATGCAAATTAATTCAGTCCTGTGATTGGTTATTGCAGCAATGAAGATTCTCACACACTATTCACATGAGTTCTGAAAATAGCAACAAGCATCTGCTCTGTGCAGTCTACCCCATCAACTTTCCTTTTACTATTTGTTTCAAAAAGACTTTTTCAATAAATTCATGGTTCCTGACACCAGAATTTAAAAAGGAGTACAGCAACATCACGAAAACAAGACCTCTGGCTAAGTGAAATAACATTTCTTGTAACACTTATCTACAGATTATAAGATGACTTGTTGGACAAATTAACTAGTCTAGTAATATATTTACTTCATATTAACACTCTGATCTGCACTGCACATCTATACACAAAGACCTCTGCTGTGCATTTATGTCTGATATATTTAACACATATAACTTCATTATAATATTCTGTTAAATTCAATTAGTTCTTTTAATGCAAAATCAGTCCTGGTACTTAATAAAGCTCATTCTTCGAGTTCTAAACTAGTTTGTCATGTCTGTTTTAAATTTTGAAGCCATGCAATGCCATACCTACTTGAGTTTTAACAAGGCAAATACCTTCCTTAGCAGGAAGAAAGTACGTTCATTTTCCAAGGGTGAAAAACTATGCAACTTCAGTTTTGCTTGAATAGATCAAGTAAATAAGTTTAATATCTTAAGCTATTTTGGCCACTTGTGTATTACAAAAAAGTTTGTCCACAACATAAAGAAAGAAGGTTCAAATAAATATTAAATTATATTGTCTACCTTCTCACTTGTTTTTTGTGATTTTAAAAGTTTTGGAGAGTGTATTTTCAACTTTGTGTACACAAGACTGTAAAACAAGCTAGAGAAAAGGCTGAATCTGATTACCCCTTCTAGTTTTATAGTTCATTCCTAACACAGCCAAAATCAGGTAGGAAAATATGTCCAAAATTTGAAGGATTTAAAACCCACTGTAATTTGCATCCAAGTTCAGCCATAGAATCTTGTTTAGGTTAATTTTTAGAGAATTCTGAGACAGGGACATGCTTAAAATGTAACTATGTGTGTCAAAATAACACTGACATGGGAATTTAAGCAATCCAAAGATGAGCACTGAGAAAAACAAAACTCAAAACCTTAGAAACATAAGGATATAAAACGTAGTTTGTGCCCTCCATATAACTCAACTGAATGTTGCCTATGTCTCTGGATAACTGGAGATCCCATCAGTTGCTGAGTTTTGAATATTGTTGAATGAATAAATAAAATAAATAAACAAACACAGTGGGTAAATAAAGCTAGTGCTGGAGAAAAAATTCTGTTCATCTACGCTAACTGTATGAAATTTTAGTTTTAGTTATCCCAAAGAATCTTAAGATATTTTTGTTAAAATGATGAAGTCATAGCAATAAGAGATGCCACCTAAGAATTTGTTCTTAGGTGCCTAAGATGCCACTCTTATTTGTTTTGAAACATTAGCTGGGAAGTGGTTAGAGTAGGTATACTTTGATTTAACATGCTAGGTGTTCAGATGATTGAAAATTTTAACAGAAAATAAAATGACAATTTTAACTAGAGAGTGTGTGCTTTTTCATGCCTTATTCAGATTTAATGTGTTTTGGTTTTTTTTTAAATTTTAAAATAAAACAGTATTATTACTGATGAAACAAATGCCACCCATGAAGGCTAAGGTAACGCATGCAGCAAGACAAAAGAGGTTCAGAGGCAAAGACAACAGCATATGCTAACATTCAAGAAAATCAGGTCAATGTAGAGTTCTTCCTTCAAGGATACTCTTAATTTATGGTCCTTTCAAAATGTAGCTATTGCTGCCTTGAACATAAAACAGAGCTCTGAAGATACAGCATCAGAATAAGGCTCTATCTTAATAATAAAATCAATGAGATCAGAATGGGCCCTCAAGAAGTTTTAGTGACGCATAATTTTTTAACACACTTTGAACTGCGAGATGACAGTATTAAAAGTAAAATCCCATTTCTACGACTGTCTTAACACACACTGAGCCATGCAAGGAACAAATATGCGACTACACATACACTAATTAAATATTTATAGTAAGAAAAAATGTGTCATTGCAAAAGCAGACCAGATTTTGTAGATATCGTTCTCTTCTATTACTCTAACTAGAAATCAGAATCAAGGAGCCACAAGAGAGTTAAACTCTCCCATTATTATAGCTGAAAAACAAACACTTACATAGTCCTTTAAAAAAAAATAAAATGAGATACAGAAGCCAAAGTATTAGTTAGCTCAAATAAGGATGAAGATGCAACTCTCAAACTCTTAAGAGAAGAAATGTCTTGGAAAAAAACAAGAAATATTTTAAATCATCCTATTTCTTTCACCTCTGCCTCCTCATTAGTATGGGTTTGAGGCTGTCTCCTTCAGCAGCAGGAGCCAAGCTCCCAAGCAAGTGGCACACTTTGTTCTATGTTCTTTCAGGATATGGAATTCCTTTCCTCATATCCTCTAAAAAAAGAGTTAAAACTCTCATTCAGACTCTCCTTGGCTGTATGAGAAAATTTCCAACTGAACTCACATTACTAAGTGCTATAGATTTACAAGGTATCTAATAATGGGTAAATGATCAAAATATTGGAAGATAATTAATAGTCTGATCATACATAAAGTTTATGTGCACTTACTCCCAGAATTCCATCACTGGAGAAGTGGCATTTTGTAAAGAGACTTGACTGCAGTTGCTCATATTAAGTTTTTGAAATTCCACACAGTTTTCTACAAAAGAACAGAAAAAGAGTTTGCTAGATCGACAAGTACATTTCTTCTTGTGCATCTTCTATTTTATGCATCTTGTAAAGCCACTATTCTATAATACATTTTCTCTAGGTAGTTATAGGATTTCTGGGTACACTAAAATGCCACAGCTGCTACTTCTGCAACACTGTATTTTGATCATCAGATCACAGGCCTGTCCCAGAAAAATACCCATGCAGTATGCTACATTCTCCTAGAACGCTTTCCAAAGGCACAGTTGCAACGGCAAGGGCCAATAAAGCGTCTGAGGCAAAACCAAGTGCTTTGAGAAACTGAGGCAATTGATTGGGAATTACAACATACTCCTACTCCAACTGCTGGTTCAATGGCCAATGTAACAACTGGCTTATGAAACACTGCCAGCAACATGTTTCCACTTGGCCTTAATACGGCAAGTGAAAAGTCACTGTGTATGATGATTATGATCTCTAATATGAAGAAAGGAAACCAAAGCAGCTCAGCACTGTTGAGCTGACACTTAGTATTTCAACAGCGATCAACATTGGCTAAGCTCCTTCACAGAATGCCAAAATTGATGCTGAAGCCTTCCACATCTATTGGGGCCAAGACTAGTTCCCTAACATAACCTAAACTGCTAGATTTCAGATGGCTTTATGTGTGCTCAAAGAACACTATAATGAGCAGTTAATAAAAAAAATCATGAAAGACTGTACAATTGGTACCTTATTTGAAATCAGACAGTTATATGAGGAACAAATGCAAAAACTTCAGGAACAGGGAAATAAGGGCATTGGTATGTATTCCTCCCCGTAGTTGTTTGTGATCTTCAAATGCAGTTAAAGCATTACAGATAAAAAAAATCAATGAGAGGACAGATACAGAGCCCTGTATTGCAAACCCTTATGAATACACACCTCATCTTTCATGTAAGAGGATACTTTGCATGCCATAAGGATTACTTATGTGACTAAATTTTCAAAGGTAGCTTGATGAACATTACCCCTCTACATCTGGCATTAAGAAGAATGAATCCAAAGTTCTACATTTAATATTTTCCTCTCCATTTAAACTCTTTCTTACCTCATTAGAGTGAAAGAGTAAGATTGTAACCTGTCATCAGCTCTTCAGTAGAATTCACTTACTGTATTCAGGAAAAATAGATACGATTGCAAATGAGAGTCTTGGGATTTAGCGAGGGTATCTTACAGAATTAACAAAATCAAAAGTCTTCTTCTGCTATCTGACATTATAGTCTGCAGGAACAAATGCTTATACAATGGCCTAAACCTTCACGCCAGGATTCCTTTATCATGCTGTAGTGTGATGTGATTGGCCCTTTTCCACAGGCTTTTCTACCAGAATAGTTTTGTTCCTGATGTTTTAATACATTAATCGATTGCTTGGAATGATTTGTATAGCAATAATCTCTACTGAAGTCATACCTGTATTCCATTCATGCCCACAGGTAGCCCAAGGAAGCTCTGTAGTAAAGCAGTTAAACAAATAGAAGATAGCCCATGCTAAAATGATGATGTAATATACATTTAGATGTGCCTCTATAACTTGCGTTGCATATCCAATGCCTAGAGAAAAAAAAAGTGAGACACAGTAGAAAACTTCTACTATTCAGGTAATTTAAATGCTTACTACTTTAAGTATATCTTAACTTCCATTTCGATACAATTCATTTTATTTTACTTTTGCGGTAGAACACAGAACTGTTTGTTACCTTCAAATAGAGGGCAAACTTTCCTCCAGCATGTAATGCCTCCTTCACTAGTAAACTGTCCCAAGGCCGTCTCCAAGAAAAATACTGGTATTCCACAGCAAATAAAAAAAACCACATACGGGATGAGGAAGGCACCTACAAGCAAACATTGAGGGAGTATCAGTTATACTGAATATCGTTCCTTGACAGCACAGTGAGAAAAACTAATTTTCTTAATAAAGGAAGGATCCTCTATTAGCCACCTCTCAAGCAGCATCCTGAAAGTGCAGAAAGTGTTTACTCCTCACCACAAATATCAAAAACGTCACGGCCTAAAAAAGCCCAGACCAAAACTCCTCAGCATAGACTAAATTCTGATCATGTGATGATGAGTCAAAGGTGAGGTGGAAAGCAAGCAATTACATTGGTTTAGACTGAAACAAGGAATGAAGGAAATAAATATTGAGAAGAAAGCACAAAATAACCAATTCTGACATTTTTCCTTACACCAAGGAAGTTTTACCGGTTTAACCAGGCCGACTAGTGCAGCAATGTAGGGCACAGAATAATTTATCTGAAGTTGTAGGAAAATTACAGAGCATTAACTGTCTAATTAAGTTATGAAAATAAAGGTTAGTACAACATACATAATCTGTTATATCCAGGCCTCAATTTACTTGCTCACAAACACATAATCCCATAACACTGATTAGCTTAATTTAAAGCTCCCACTAAACGATGTAAGCAGCCCATCATTCATTTCATTTCAAATAAAGACAAGATATGCTAAACAGATGGTGGATGCAGTTTTTCCTAGGAAAATGTGTTTTACAGTGCTGTCCATCATTGCATACACTGATCAGTTCTTTAGAACAGTGTTTCCTTCCTTCAGCGGGAGTCCTAAAGATTAATTTGGTCATGAATGATCAGCATCTTAATATCTACCTCTGCAATACTAAATCTCTGTCAGAATATTAACTTTGAACAAATTTTTTCTCAATATTCTTCAGGAAAATTTCTACAACTACAAGGCAAATAGGTATCCCACTCATGATCTCAAAAAAAAAAAAAAAACAAACCCCACCCCACACACCAAAACCCAAACACCACAACACACCCGCAACCTGCAACAATTGTTATGCTTTAGTCACTTTGATTAGAAAGTTGAGACAACTAAATATAGCTGCTTTGACTTGCAGCTTCTTTCTTCAGACCCAGCACATCAAGAGAGACCTCTTCATGCGTAGTCTCCTCCCTCAACCAGGCAATTTGCCTATAGTTAAATCTCGAGAAATACCTGTGGATTTCACAAAGAATGGAATCCTTGCATGTAAAACACAGTTTCTCTGCATGATTTACTGTGCACATGGTTTGAACAAAATCCTTATAGGCCAAGAGAACTGCTGGCCAGTATCAAATTCAACTTGGTCCACTCATAGGCATGATCATAGGGTGTTTAACATGGCAGCTTGTTGAAACTGACAGTATTAGCTTTGACTATTTTTCCAACGCTGTTCTACAACAGGTCTACACCATGAAAATTAGAGGACATCAGGTTTCCCACCTTGCAAAGAGATCATATTCCAATAAATATCTAACTCTAAACATGCAAAGAAATTAATTTTCCTAAAAAAAACCCCATTAAATATCCACAAGAACAAATTAAAATTATAGAAGCTTATGCCTACACTACTTGTTACAATTCAGAATAAACACCAGAGAGAGGCCAGACCTCAGAAGTTCCACACTACTGCTTTTAGATTCATGCTGTATCTAGCAAGTTATTTCACAACTAGCTCATGTATCTTACCATTGCCTTCACTTACCTCACACTAAGTAGTTTTCAGTATTTACATCTGATGCATCAAACAAGTCCAACTCTGGTCTAGTTCCATCAGGGCATTCCAGAGAGTTACACAAACACAGGTCATAGATCAAGTCCCCATTGAATAAAATTTAAGTCAATGGCAAATTTCCCATGGTGCCACGACATGACCAATTAAACCACACACATTAATTTTATTCTTAAAGAATTGAGTGGTGATTAAGCATGATATTTAACTAATTACTTTTTCACTAAATCACTCAAAAACATGGTTAGAATTTTTTCTAACTAATGTTAAAGCCTTAAAAACGATAGCATCACATTTTGACAAGCTAGCATATACATATGAATGGGCATATAAAGGTTACTCTGTGAACAAGGAAATCTTCATTATATACTGAAAAATTATTTCTATTTTTTCCTCTGACAAAATTTCTCTGGGAAAACTTTCACAATTAACAAGGAACTGTTCTGCATATCATATCTAGCATATTAATATTTATGTACAAACAGCAGTACTTGACAGCATCACTCTGAAAACAGGTGAATTCTTGTTATCTTAGTTTGTTATCTTAGTTTTGACAAAGTACAGATACATAAAGAAAGGAGTTGCAAACCATAACTGCAGTTTCCACAGCAGTATTAGCCTTACATAAAGTGCAGACAAAATGGGCCAAAACTATCCCCAAGTTCAGATAACTGTGCCTGCTTTTGGATGGACAAGGGAAAGAAATTTGGCACAGCATTAGTAGGAAACAAACCCATTAAAGAACAGTTCTTTGTGGATCAGTCACTGAACATACCATTTTTCTCTCAGCCTATATACTTACACTAACACTGATTCAGGAATTAAGTTGGGATAATGTTGAATCCAGTCCACAGAACTCTAAACTAAATTTTTAATTTACTTTTCTTTCCTCATTGCTTCACAAGTCACATCTGACATGCTTACTCTTAACTGTCACGTATCTTACATTGTTTATACTGAACTATAACCAATACATACCACATGTTGCACTTTTGTAGAAGTTAAATCTGTTCTTTTCTCTCTCAGATAAAATTCCTACTCTAAATTTTATAGGGTTTGCTCTCTTCTTTGAGTAACAGGCAACTTTTACATCTTCCCCTATTGTACTGTAGTAATTGGGGAAGTAATGGGGAAAAAAAAAGTTAAAGAGATTTTCATATGACAAAGAAAAAAAGTAATCCTTGTAATATTATGAAAAACAGTATTCATCCTCTCCAAAGTATACTGTTGTGAAAAATAAACTGCTACATTCTTTTCTATGTCAAACTTATTTAAGTATGCTTGGGTCTGTATTCACATGCAGTAAAAACACAGTATACTACTATAACAGAACACTGGCTTTTTCCACATTAAAAATCTTATATAAAATAAAAAAAAAAAGTCAATTTACTAACACATAAGGAACTTGTGAAAGTAAGCTGCACAATATTAGGGGAGGAGAAGGAAAGAGAAACACAACAATTTTTTCTTCATTATTAGATGCTTAATGCTTCCCTATCCCCCACATACACTGAAATCCTGAATACCTATTTCTTACTAGCCCAAGAAATCACTGTAAAGCATTCTTAATTGTTTATTTCCCACATGTTTATGGTGAGCTGTAAATCAACATAAGATACCATCTTACCTCCTCCATTCTTGTAGCACAGATATGGGAATCTCCATACATTTCCCAACCCAATAATCTCCCCTGCCACAGAAAGCACAAATTCAACCTTATTGTTCCAGTGGCCTCTTTCATGAACTTTCTTATCATTGCTGTGGACAAGGCTGGTACTTGAGGCTTCTGGGTCCAAAGCATCTTCTGGCTTGCCATTAATCATAGGAATAGTCTTTTCAGCTGTCATGACTGTTCAGCCTAGGGGAGAGCAAAAGAAAAACATACAAATATTTTAAGACACTTGTTAGTAATAGCCTTCAATGATTAAAGAAGTCCCTCAGCATATCATTGGCTTCTTATTACCTACATAAATTGTCAGGTGAAAGTGAAGGACGCAACTCCGTAAGGGTAGAAAAGTTGTAAAGAAAGAAAAAAGGAAAGAGGAGCGGAGGGGGGGAAAAAAAGAGAACCTTATGTACAAGGGAAGAAGAATTCGAAGTTGACACAGACAACTTAGTAGTACAACATTGTTTTAAGGTGTAGATGGTGAAGCCTTTCAAAAAATCCCTCCCCAGGCAAGATCCCAGCTTGACTAACCTACCAGAGGACAGAGATCTCCTGCACCTTCCAGGCACAATTAAGAACAGAAGAAGAAAGGGATGTGGAGCAGGGAGCCTGAATGGTTCTGGCCTGCCTGGAGGACCAAAGGAGCTCCCAGACTACTCACCCAGGGCTCTTGTCTGTGCCAGTGCCGCTGGGAGAGGGACAGGGCTCTGGCTCGGTGCTCGGCTCCGAGCAGACCTCCGCGGGCTGCCTC